TCAAATTGGCTAACTATCTCTTACTCTCTCTTTTAATTATTGCCATATTACTATATTGTTTCTTGAATTGCATTGAATTTAATTAATTGCACACTATTGTTTGATTACCCTATTCACCCCCCTCCCTCTAGGGTAATTTCATCACCGACCTCAACATAGCTGATCAGCTTCCTATTAGCCAAAACTAAAGTCTCCTATGACTCTGATCAGCTGGGTTTCAGCTTTATTCTTAAAAGTGATAAATTTTTCTTGAGCCTCATCTTTAGTTTTAAGCAAATAAACATAACAATATTTGCTATAGTTATCTATAAAGGTGATAAAATATTTCTTCATGTCTTTGGTCAAAACACCATTAAATTCACAAATATCAGTATGAACTAAATCAAGCAACTCAGAATTCCTATCAACAGATTGAAAAGGTTTTCTTGTTAGTTTAGTTGTTGCATATACTTGACATTTCTTACTATGATCTAAAGAGTGTTTTGGAATCATATTAAGATTCATCATTCTTTTTACAGGATTAAAATTAATAGGACCAAGACGTTTCTGCCAAATATCAGATGACTTTATATTATTGCTAACAGGATAATCAAAAATAGAAATTTTATGAACTTGGACACAGAATATTTTTCAAGATCGAGGTCTTCAGTATTATATTTTCTGTCCAATTCATCCCATAATACCTTTGCAGTGGCCAAAGAAGAACAATAGACATCAACGAGCATGTTGGACAGAACTAACAAAATACATCCTCTCGCTATTTGGTCATTCTCCATCCACTGTGCAATTTTATCCGCACTATTAAATTTGTTTTCATCAAGTTTTGGAAATTCTATTAATATCATAGCTAACAGCCCCTTAGTCGTTAGCCAGATCTTCATATGTTGCTACTAACATTTGAAGAACTGTCAAGTGAACTTTTCAGGCACTCTAGACATGTCCATCTTTGAGGCATATGAACCAACTCCAGAAACAGACAACATAACTTTAATTAATAATAGTTTCTTCAAAATTGTTGGGAAAAAATAAGCATAAAAACAAATCCAAAGCAGTCCATAACAAACCACACAGGAATGACAGAAAAGAGCATAAAGTTAGAACCATCTTATTAAAAAATACTTTAAGTTCGAAATACTTTACAGAAATGCCGAATCGCTCTCTTAATGGAGGACTGACCTTGAAGAAATTATACCCCACCTACGGTAGCGTTGGGTTTGCATAGTACTTTCGAGGATGAGACGGCTGCAGTCTAAAGAAGTGCTCTCTTCTTGTGAACACCTTGACTGCTTCTTCAGATCGCTAGAATCTCAAAAACTAAACAACTTATAGAATTGTTGAGAGAAGAAGAAGAAGAAGAAGAGATTTTGTTTTCTTTTCTATGCTCTTCAAATGATCAGAAGAGGCCCTTTTATAGGGTTCACGAGAGACAAAAAGGTTTGAATTCTAGTTATTTCAACGTTTGTAACGTCTGCAATAAAGCCTATTCAATTCTTGTAACGTTTGTAACGTATGAAATTAACGTTCGTAACGTACGAAACGTTCAGCTGGTTTTAAGTGAGCACATGCAAAACAAGCCCGCTCGCACGTGCTTGTTCGCTTATATACCAACACAAGTGTATAATACTAACATCTTTGTTATACAATAAATAACACGAGGGAAAAGTGAACCTAAGGTGACACCCTAGGCTCCCACCTAAGGACGCGGCCTAAAATCACATCATTTCCTAATTTTTTTTGCGATCCGCTCCGTTGAACTTGATCTACATGTTCTTAAACCCAAACACACCAATTTTGGGGTGAACCTGTCGTGTTTTGACCCTTTATCCACTCGCTGCAATTTTAAACGTTTCGAATGAATAGAACTTTTTGCACAGCTCAACGAATGGTCAAAACAAACCGGGTTCACCCCAAAATTGGTGTGTTTGGGTTTAAGAACGTGTAGATCAAGTTCAATAGAGCGGATCGCAAAAAGAATTTAGGAAATGATGTGATTCTAGGCCGCGTCCTTAGGTGGGAGCCTAGGGTGTCACCTTAGATTCATTTTTCCCATAACACGAGTGTTAATTTAAACCAACTAAATTGCATTTAATTAGCCAATGTGGGACTAAAACTCACATACTACTAATTATACACAATTTAATTTTTCATCTACGGAATCCAATCATTAAATGATATCTTTCCATAAAACCCCTCTAAAATTTATTTATTTTAACAAGTACTTCTCTAAACTTTTAAAATTTACAAATAGGCCTTTCAACCTGTAAGTGATAATCAACTAGCAAGTAGAATGGGAGGGTGCAAGGGTCTGTTATATGTGGATGTCACATGATTGAATCAACACAAATGTCTGTCAATTATATGTATGTAAGGTGGTCTGTTAAGAAAGTTTGAGAGTTCAGGGGGTTTTGTGAAACATCCAATGTTTAGGAGGGATTACTGGGGGAAAAAAGTTCAGGGGGGTCGTTGATAACCCCAAAAGTCAAGAGGCTTTGTGAAATTTACCATGAAATAAACATTGTGAAATTTGAATCCGAGATGTCACAAACATTGTGAAATTTAGTAAGCAAGAGTGGCAATAACGCCACACATATTTGTTAATGCTGCATATCTGATAAGAACTTGCTTTGCAATTAGATTGGAATTAGTTTTGCATCTATTTCTCCTCTTCCAATGTTAATGATTCAGACCTGAAAAACTTGTCTTTTTGAAAGGTAACTCGTCAGATTTAGCTAAGTCGTAAATATGTATTTGATCTTGATAACAGTGCGTGCGGATGGAAAACTGATGTTATATTGTTGGAATATTTGAATTGACTTTTATTTAATTGTTAGCTAGATTTTATTTATGCATCAGTATTTATATATCGTCAATCATGCATAGCATACTGGCTAGCTAGCTTTTAAATTAGTTTTTCATAAATAGCTAAATAGCTTTTGATTTTGATGATAAGTTTTGACTAACACTGGTCCCCTCAATTGAACGCTCCTGGATTCGTCCCTTGAAGTTACCATAATCTATCCTAAGGAGAAATTAATATGTTCGAATATGATGTAAAATCTTTTATGCAATGCAGATGTCCAATATGTGTTTACTTCCACTACCTATTATCATTTGCTGTGATGTTAGTTATTTTCTTTCTTTCATTTGAGGGGTTAGGCTTCATGTGAGTTCTCACAAATAATTGCATCTTTCCATTTTGGAGACTGTTTCGCTAATTTGTGAGTTCTTACAACAATTATATTATTGCATGCTCTAATATTGGATCTTTGGCATGATATAATTCTCTTAATTGACAAAGAAGGTGGGATGTAAAGTCATTGCGATCTTTGGTTGGTTTGAAAAGAAAGAAGTCAATACAATAAGTCAATACATTTTCGAACAAAAGAGTTCGAATCGACAATGGCAAACATCATCCACAATTCAACATTACTAGATGAATTTGGAATTCACGAAAACGTCAAACAAGATCTTCTTAATAAAAGCTGGAGATCCTATAGTTCCAAGATTATCTCAAAAAGACGTTACAAATTGGTTCACCTGCATCTTATGATGTAATTAATGGAAAAAAATTTCCTTGCAAATACTTTGAGATAAAAATTACTTGCAGGATTTGTGGTTAGCGTGTGCAATTTTCGCTTGTAGGAGGTGATGTTATGACTCAAGTAGATCTTGGTAAAATCTGTCTTGTATAAGAAAGACATACCCCCAGTCCATCCAAGTGTGCTGTTATGATAGAGCATTCACATCACACAAATAATAACCCTTCTTCATGCGCAAATAAACTGAAACTAATAATCGTAAATGACGTCAGTCTGACGTTACTTAACATTAATATTGCATACGTTTAAAGGAGAGAGAGAGAGAGAGAGAGAGAGAGAGAGAGAGAGAGAGAGAGAGAGAGAGAGAGAGAGAG